GAAAAGGCATGAATTTGGGCATGTCCTTAGTCCTACAGGTTCATACAGCCTTTAAAGTCAGAATAAAATACTTAAATTTACAGGGAACCATTATATTGGGTGCATGTTTTTCATCTGCTACTAGATTTAATTATTTAACATGAACAGTATGTTTTAGTGTAATAGCTAATTGGATCATGAATTGAACAAAGCTATAGGTTAAATTTAATAGAATAAAAGTGTGATTGGGTAGGTTAAATATTTCACTTTCTGAACTTACTCTACAAATCCCCAACCTAGTTGGAATTTCACTTTCTGAACTTACTCTACAAATTGGACAATGCAGCTCTTTGGATTATAATTAACATAGAGCTTCTCTTATGGCCTCAGATAAAAATGCAGTTTGTATGAGATGGAGAATATTTGTTGTCCCGTGAAAGTGTCAGTACTTTTGTGTCAGTATTAAGTACAATATGCAGCATAGTTCTTGTGATGATGTTTGTTTTGCCCTTTTGAAGCTTAACCTTGGCGACGATATTGTGAAAGTTGTAATCGATTGGAGCAAGCTTCAAAGCACGTCGGCACTTCAGCCAGTACTGCTCTTTAGTGCCCTTCAGCAGCATATTTTAAATTTGCAGGTAAATATTTCATCGGACACCTTCAGCTTGACTAAAGAGATCAACAACTGAATATAGTTAAATTTTCTGGAGTGTAAAATTTCAGTTGTTAGGATTTTGTGTTTCTATGTCCAACAAGAAAGATGCAAAAATATGTTATACATTTGGGAGTCTACTGTGCTTTATAGCTACTCAAACCTATGGATTTTTCAGAGTAGCGGGGAATAGTCACTGCAGATGAGCAGGCTAAATAAATGCAGCCTCATTGATTTCTAGACTTGCATTGTAAATGTGGTACATTTCCATCTATGGTGGGTTGTAATTAAGCAATAAGACACGGCAGGTGTGTGTCATGCTATGATAATGATTCCATGCGTTGGGTGAGTTTTGAGGCTCATGGAGTGCTTTCAGTGGTTCAAGAAGTGGCATTATCCCAGCATGACACATCCTGGAGTGTCTTACTGCAATTAAATATATTTTCAGCGTAGTCTTTTTTTTTTTCCCTTAAGAGTAATTTCTTTGATATTAATGTCTCATCTTGCCAAGTAGCCAGTCACCGTGACTGTCATTTCTTTTAACTGTTTGAAACTTTCTAAACCTGTCAAAAGTAACTGTGATTTAGTTGTATGAAGAGGGTGGGTGAGCTGTTTGTCAGCTAGTAGGTGAACGATATTTTGACCTTGATAGTTCATCTATTAAAGGTGAGGATTTGAATACACCTCATTTGTCACTTCAGCTATTCAGTGAAGTGTTTCAAGTGTGTGAGTACTAAAAGAGTGGGAAATGAAGGAAGTTTCTGTGTTTGCTTGTCTACAGGTATAAGAAAGACCCTTTATGTTTTCCAGACACAGAAAAATCTTTGGTGTGATAAACTCTAAAGATAAAAGCAAAAAAAAAAAAAAAATCACAGTGCTCTTACAAAATTTCAATTTCTGTAGGAATTTAAATCCATTTCAGGAAATCCGACTGATCAAGATTTTTTTTATGCAACACAATTTTTATTTCTAAAGGAAAAGTAAGCTGTAAAATTCAGATTATATGAAATCGGTAGGAAAAAAAATGGGTAGTTTGAGGTATTCTGTGTACTAAGGTTTTATTTTCAAATCTTGTGTAAGAGTTATTTCAGTAGAATAATCATTTATTTTACTGCTACGAATGTCAGTGCATTCTCTTGTTTAATTTCATGACCTAAGTAGATAATCAACCGTGTCAAGTGAAGCATGTGTTCAGGATAACACCTATATATTTCATGTCTGTGTTTTCTCATTCACTTGGGCAACTGCAGTTTCAAGTGGGGAATGTAGTGCTGTGGTGATAAAGTAAAGGCTTTACAGTGTGAAAGCACTGGCTTTCATGTTAAAGAGGAAAAATACTAAGCCTTACTGTTCTGAGGAGCCATTTGAATGACATGTTAATTAAGTGGCATTGGTGCCAAAGACTGAAGCTTTGATTTAGCTACTAACGACAAGCAGCAGACAGATTTTCTTAGAAATTTGGGTTTTTTTCTATATAAACCCTTGAAAGGCGCAGATCAGGACGAAATCATGGTGTTTGCCAGAGTATTTGGAACTATAACGTTTTTATTACTGTATCAGAAGCAGACACTGTATTTTTTTTTTAGTTCCATTTTAGAAATTATAATACTTTTTACCTTTTTTTGTACTGGTTTTTATTCAGCCTCTTTTAGAAAAACTCCAGTCATTGATTAAAGAGGAAAATACAGACCATGTTGAACCTGCAGGTAAAACAGAAGGCCAGACTTCCGAAACAAATTTTGATATTTATGACGGTAACCCTCAGACTGAAGAGAAGTATGCAGGCTATGACGCGGGAGAGCTGAAGGATGTTCATATTAATTTTGATCCAGAGGTGGTCCAGATAAAAGCTGGAAAAGCAGAAGTAAGTGATTTGACTAAATTAAAAAAAAAAAAAAACTTTCTGGATTTTAAATTTAAAGAATGAAATAGATATATGCCATCATGTTTATTACCTGCAGATTGACAGGCGGATATCAGCCTTCATCGAGAGGAAACAAGCTGAGATCAATGAAAATAATGTCAGGGAATTTTGCAATGTTATTGATTGTAATCAAGGTAACTGGCTAGCCAGACTTTATCTTAATAGCAATTTAAGAGTTTTGTTTTGTTTTGTTTGTTTGTTTTGATTTTCTTTTCAAAGGAACTATATTTAAAGCAGTTTTTTTTTTAGCGTAACTGTTTTCAAGTTAACATATATGTGCACTGCAGATATTATTAGACAGGCAAAATTATTCACTGAGTGACAATGTTTAGTGGATTACATACAGAAGTATTATAGCTATTACTATGTTCATTTTAAGAATTGTGGTCTTAAATCTGATAACTTTGTAGCTATTCTTCATCATGTTTTAGCTATATGTTGCTTTCAAAGTCAACAGATTTGCAATTCAGAAATGTCAATTGTGTAGTGAAAATTGAACTTAATATTAGTTAACACATATATTAAGAAAAACTTTTATTTTTAGTTAAGTTCATTTACTAACTAGTTAGAATAACTCACTTTCTGTTTACCCTAACTCTTTCTATTGGTGTCTTTATGGATTCTTCTAGCATAATTTACTATATCCAGAGCCAGTTTCAAATTTGTCTGATAGGCTGGTCCTGATTAGCATGGTCAGTGTCTATATAACCAAATGTATCTTAAAAGTGAAGATACTTTATAAAAGAACAAGTAACAAGGAGACATACTTTTTTTTTTCATAATATTTGGCTGTGCTTTGTCTCTGTGATTTTATTTATACATTTGGAGATCAGAGCTTATTGTTCCATAATCTTTACAGGAGGAAAATTCACCTCCTTGAATATTAGTTGAAATGAAAATCACATGTAAAGGTTAGCAGAAGATGCTACATAGTAAAATAATACTTCTATAACTGTTAGGTAATTACAGAAGAAACAATGATACGACTTATGTTCATGCATAATAAAATATTTCTAAAGCTTTATGTGTATACAATGGAGTTAAAATATAAATATTAGAATAACCTAACGTGGAGCTTATTTCCACATTTTAGAGCTGAACAAATTCAGGAAACCACGGGAATAAATGCAGGAAGATGGAAAAAGAATGCTGATAAGCAAACCAGACCAGTGTAAAAGTAGGAAGAAAGTAGTTTCAAGGAAGGACATAGAAACAGAAAAAACAGTGATAAGCAGGGAAAACACTTCCATACAAGAAGAAAGAAATAGGTTAGCGAAACACAGCTAAATGTGAAAACCAAATGAATTTTAATTTGGAAGACGTTTTGTACAGTTAAACCCAATAGAGCCATGTGAGTGTGGAATTTTATTTTTTTAATGAACAAATGGTTATAGGAACTGAATAAATTAATCTTGTTGTATGAAAAAATTAAATTAGATTTCTTAAAAACCTGGAAGTTTTTAAGGCCTCACTCTCTTTTGTTATTACTTGTTTAGAAAATAGCTGTGCCAGAACAGATGCAATTTTCACACCTTATCCTGGATTTAAAAGCCATATAAAGGGTAAGCAACTATTTTTATTAAGAGTGTCCAGATGGAAGAGCTTTAATACATTTTTGGCTTATTGAGTGCTCAAAAAATGGAAACATGTACAGATGCTTTTGACTGTCAAGAATACTTCTAAAATCTTCCCTTACTCCTTTAAGTTTTTTCATCCCCATTATGTTTCATTCAGCTGATGCGTAAACACCAAGCACCAAAACAAGCTACCTTGTTCCCATCATCTGATGAAAGGAAAGATGGAAAAGCTAAAGCAGAGCAGATAAAATGGAGAAACTGAACAATTCTTAGCTTTGTGTCTAAGTTGAGGCTAGGAATTTAGCTAAGGAGTTGCAATGAAATTAAAATTATCATGTTTTCGGTTGGTGTAATTATACTTAATTAAAAAATAATTTAGAAGGGACACAGTGGAAGCAGAGGCAGATGACAGGTTGGGAAGGCTTTCCTCTGCATTAGCTTTTTGGAAGGAAATAAATAGTCTAGAAAAGATTGTCCAGCAAAAGTTATGTCTGAGTGGAACAGCTTGACTGTTTGCTGCTGTTTAGTTGTACAGAGGTTACTCTGAGGGAAAAACAAAATGACAAAACAGAAGTAACCTCCTCTTCCATTTTGAGAGTGATAATATTCTGTTGTCTACTTGAATTCCATCCTTCAAGAAAACTCAGAGTATTAACATTGTGAAGCCTCATGCTAGATACAACACGTAAAGGGTCTGGTGAGCTAAGAGGGAGATGGGGGAGTTTAAGCACCTTTCACTAAGAACTCCTTTCACTCGTTTCTTAAAAAAAAAAAAATGCTAGTTTTTATCTCAGATTGTAGAGTATTACAAGAAATAGAGGTTGTTCTTCAAGTAACTGAAACCTGAACAGTTCAGAATTGGCACTTGAGTAACCCTTAGAAAGGAATTGGAAGTGAAACCAGCATAAACTGTGCAGCAAGAATGTAGTGTGTGGCCCTCACCAAGTTCTGAGTAAGAAGGTTTGTCAGTATGGAGTTTACAGCATAGAATTCAGGTCTGCATTAGCCCTATCACAAAAGGCTCAAGAAGTGATCCTTATTTAAAGAGAAGTGGCCAAAATCTTTTGACGAGGACATACATGGTGGTGGGAAAATCCTGCACCCAGAAGCAGCTGAGGGTTCAGTAAAGCCAGTTACCTGAATAACAAAAATTGGAGAGAATTTCTTTACTAAGATGCATAGCGCTTTTTCTGTTTGAACCTCCTCATATCCAGTTTTAATGGGTTTTATTTATGACGCTTTCTGTAATGTTAGGATAGACTTTTTTCCTGGCTGCTTCTTCATATCCAGAGCCATTCACAAATGCAACTGCTGACACAGATACTTTTTTCCTACTGTTTATCTGCAGCTAGCAACAAATTCTCAAGACTTCCATCTTGTGTGAATGTATGAAGACAGTTTTTTCCTTTGATACAGGTGTTAAGCCCTAGTCTACTTATTGGTAAAATTACTTTAAGGAAATACTTTTGTTGAACTTTAATGTCTGTGAGGGAAATGTCCTTCAGAGATGATATTGTGAAATTGTTGTGACTACCAGTTTTGAGCTATATCATTTAATAACACTTTTTATTCATTTTAATTAGATGTGTCTTAATATGTTTCAAGCATATGTATGATAAATTTGTTTTCTCTTTACCTAGTTTCTAGGGTAGTAAATACATATGGGCCGCAGACTAGATCTGAAGGAGCTCATGCTCCCAATCACAAAGCCAGTGCACCCATTCATGACTGTGGGAACCAAGCCATCGAGGAGAGATTACAAAACATTGAGGCACACTTACGGTTACAAACAGGTTTGTCTCATTTTTAATTGTGGTGTTACTGTACCGGCATTTGTATTACAGATATAAATACTGGGAGTTCTGTGATTGTAAAAACAGTGGACCATGTTCAGTAGTGGGTTGAGCCACCAAAAGTGCTACAGTTTGATGATAAGATGGACTGAAAAGACAACTTGAAACTTTTTTTCCTAGAGGTAGATAATTCCTGAAGCAGTTACATAAGAAACTTGCTTCTCTTGCATAGGAGGTAGGAATCTGTTTTCAGTACTTCCCTGTGCAGAGCTTAGTCCACCCCTGTCATTAAAGTAAATGCTATAGCCCCAGCCTCTTAGCTCCTTTGAACAGTTGCTTTCCTCTGGCCAGTCTCAGTTTTGTGGAAAACGAGTCAGTGGAGCACTTGCCAAGGAATTGACTCCTACCTAAATCAGTGCTCTTGGGGAAGGTCTCAATATCATTTATTACCTCTCCCAGCAGCTTCACAGTAAGTATTCATTTGGGAAGGTAACCTGCCTCAGCCACCTGCTTACCCACTCCTTGGTTCTGAGTACAGAGAGATCTCAGCTCAACACCTGTTACTCCGAACAGCTTTTCCTAGTGCTACTACTGCTCTTTTCCCTTTACAATAAGACACATGTATTAGGAAAGGGAAGTTAGCTGATTTAGTTAGTAGCTGATGAGTAGGGAACAAAACTGAAGGAGAGAAGCTAGCCACAAAATTGTCTGTCAGAAACAAAGAGATAGAAGAGATGAATGGTTTAAAAAACGTGTATTTCAATAGTCTGTGGCATAGGACTAGTTTATCTGACATACCTAGACATAAATTGAAAGGGGTGGCAAGAGAAGTAAAATTTGCTAATGCCTTGGTTGTTGCTACTGTTCACAACCAGGCTATCATTTTATGTGGAATAGCCGGTAATCGAGGTAGGCTAAACAGCAATCTCAGTTTATACAGTGCCCTTAGGTGCCTCTTCTACTTCCCCTGATGCTGCAGCTCATTTTGAAGTGGTAGCATGTGGTACCAGTGTACTGAGAGAGATTGTTGGTTGGTCAGGAACCTTGTCAGACTTTTTTGAACCACCGCCACAAGACTGCCTATTGACTTCAGTGATTGTCCTGGCTTAACAGCCAGATTTTACCCTGAATCATATTAATTACTCTGCCTTTTTATTTTCACAGCCGCTTATTTTGTGGAAGCCACAGGTTGAAAGTGAGACTCAAAAAAAAAAAAAATCACCTGTAAGGCTTGCGAATCTCTATTAATGAAGTTCCTCAAGTGCTTTTCCTGATTTCTTTGCATTTGTACTGGTATGCTTAGGTGGTCCTGTACCAAGAGACATTTATCAGAGAATTAAGAAGCTTGAAGATAAAATCCTTGAGCTGGAAGGTCTGTCACCTGAATATTTTCAATCTGTGGTAAGAAATTGTCAGTTTCATTTAGCATTTGATACTTCTCTGCGTAGATATTTGATGCACAAATAAAACTTAAGGAATCAAAGGGTTGATACTGTTGGTATAAAAAAAAAAAAAAGCCAAACTTTTCTAACTGTTGTGTTTCACCTAGACCCTTTAAATGGATTCATATTTTACCTACTTTCTCATTCGAAAGAAAATAGTGTTTGTTGAGGAAAAGAATTGTAGCTACCTAACTTGATTGTTTTTAAGAAACAAGTGTATTAGAGGGTGTATTTCTCTCCACTCCTTTAAAGTTCAAAGCATTTTTGATGACAAAAATTGACAAAAATTGTGATCTTGATACAAATGATTAATGACAACTAAAATTCCTTAGTTTTCTGTACATGATCTCATTAAGATTATGGCAGATTGGTCTAAAGAGTGGGCATAGGAAATGGCTCTTCCAAGAGGAAAATGAGTGAGTAAACCTTTTAGGAACCATGAGACAGATAATTTCTGACTTTGCCGGAAAACCAGCAATAAAAACTCAGAGTTGTATCTCTCTTAAGTGCCTGTAGCTAGTAAAAGTGCAGTGTACTGAGCTTCTTTCTGAATAGCAAACCTTATCCTTCATTCACTGAAGGAGGTTAAAGTGAAGGATATTTGTGATTTCTATGTCAGGCCCTGCTTTGGAAATTTCTGGTGGATTATCATGCTCTTTTTTGCTCTCCTCACTTAGTCAGCATATCCCTATTACTATTGATCTCATTTAATTTTTATACTCTTCTGCTGGTCTGAAGGGATAAGAGACAGCACTTAAAAAGCAATGAAGTAATTTCATTTTTGTTTCACTTTTGTTTGTGTTGATGTTGATTAAAGTCTTTTTATTTGTAAGACTATTCTTTCAAGTTGTCGGAAACTAAAAGTTAAAAATATTTACTAGTTAAAAGTATATAATGGGCTGAAATTTCCCTGTAATGTGCTTTGGTATATTCTTCAGTGTGCTGATTTGCATGAAATATGTGATAGTAGTAATTGTAGTGTTATACAGTAATTTGCATTTTTTTTCTCTGAATAAAACTTTGTATTAATATTACAGGAAAAAAATAAATGGAAAAATAGTGACAAAGTTTGAAAACCTGGGTATTGATCTTTTTTTTTCATCTCAAGGAAGCCTCAGTTAACTTTATTTAATATATTGGCTGCAGGGTGTCAAGCTTGAACAGCTTCTACCTTCTCTCTACAAGTATGTCTCATGATTCAAAGTAAAGAGCATAATTAAAGAAAATTTTTATCTATGAGATGGAAGCTGATATGCTTTCTGTGCTTTTAAGATCTTTGTCAATGTGTTTTATGGGCTCTGTAGTTTTCAGAATTACAAAGTAACATTAAGTGTGTTTTGGCTATCTCTTTTTTTTATAGAGCTGTTCTGGCAAGAGGAGAAAGGTCCAGCCTCCCCACGTAAGTGCTCTTAAATTTTGTTTACCTTTAAAATAGCCTGAACTCAGGAAAAGTGATCAGAAGCTCTGCCAAGCAAATACCCGACTTCTCAGAAATAGCTGCAGAGTTTTGGATAGCTTTCTAGCAGGGCGAGGAAGAGAAAGAAAAGAAATTAAATTCAAAGTTCTCTAAAAACCTGTACTAGTATGATAGTTACTACTACTGTGTTAGTATTAGAAATACAAATCGGTATTATATTAGAATTAAATTGCAAATATGTAATGGCTGTTCAAAAGCACTAATTAATGTTTTTTGTTCTAAGGAACAGGTTAAACAGACTTCTAATGGAAACAGCACAGTTACTGATCCAAAATTTGGACTGATTTGTTGGTTTCTTTCAAGTTTGCCTTTTTAAGTTTTTAAATAGCTATAGACTACGTTCAAATAGTTAGGTGAAAGTATTTGTCATTTAATGCACTATGCAGTGGCCTCGAATATCAAGTGCTAGACCACTTCTGTAGCATTTACAAGATGTAAGTGATTGTGGTTCTTATTTTGTTCTTTTAGCAGAACTATTCATTGGCTGAACTTGATGAGAAGATCAATGCTATTAAACAGGCATTACTGAGGAAAACAAAAGAGAGCAAGTCCAAGGAGGCTGAGCGGCTTCTTCGGTAGTGGATGAAAAACAAATCTTTTCAGAATCTTCATCATGCTTTACATGTACCTAAAACGTAGACCTGCAGTAGTGCTCATTGGAGATAACTTCAGCCATAAAAACAAAGCATGCATAGAAGCTCATTATGGATGATTTCAATAGCTTGCTTTTGAGAATATTCATTTTAAAATAATCTGATTAGTGGAATATTTACCTTAAAATTGAGGAATGTTTAGGAATAGCATTCTTATGATCTATTCCCTTCTGTTATAAAGGAGGATTGCAACATTGTTCATTCGTGGAAAGTTTTAACCTGCATGAAAAAACTGCGTTTCGTGTGTAATTCTTCTTGATGCCAGAGTATTTAAAAGGGCTATCTTTTGAATACTTGCAATGTAAATAGTTTGAACAAACTTGTGAAATAAACTTGTGAGTTACTTCTTGATGAGTAAACTGTTTTATTAGAAAAATAAGACATGACAAAACTTTTCAGTGGGTAAACTGAGCAGCAGTCTCTTCCATCTCTCTCACTGTTGATTTTTACAGAGCTAAAATGCAGGACACTGCATTTCTGCCCACTTTTCAAATAGAAAGTTACATCTTCTTTACACAGGTAAGATGAGACACCTATTACCTCTTAAGTGCCCTGTAAGAATCCCTGCTACAAGTTTATGTTTTAAAGATGATTCTGGGTAAGGTGGAGGTGCTGCGTGGTAAGAGGCACACCCAGGCAGGCGCAAGTGCCTCAAAGAGGACTTCAGGGCAAAGAAATACCTCTATATATGAAGACTGCAGCCTGCTGCTGCACAGGACTGTTGTTTGTCACACCCTGTGGAACTATAGCGTTCTACCTTCTGCAAAATAGTGCCAGTTTTCAGAATCCCGATTCTTGCACAGCTCACACACTGTGGGGTATTTTGCTGCAAAACCTGTTCTTCTGCAGAACTTACTGAGTCTTGGTACTGCTTCCCAAGAGTAGGCAGCTAAAAAAGAAATAAAAGGTGGAGACAAGTGGGAGTTCATGAAAAGGATATTTCTCCTATAACTTGCACAGAGAAAGTAGCTGCAGATGTCGGAGGGATATTAAGCCCTTGGAAGCTTCCCTTTCTCCCCTAATATCACGTTTAGATGGGTGAAAGAATATGACATTGTTCCAGTATGCAACACCACTGGTCTCACTGTACCTGTTTGGCTTTGTTTCTTTGGGCTTGACTGTAGACCCCTAACTTCCAGAATAAAGATGGTTTCTGCTGGAACAGATGTGCTCTCCTGGTCACCAAACCCTATATAATAAAGAGGGTGTAGGAGAGACCTCTTACATTATCTCTTTTCTTTTCATCTTAAGGCAAGGGAGATTCAAAATCAACAGTTGACAATTACAGTGTCAGAACAAAATGGTTATAGCTTTCTTAGAAGTGCCATTTATGCTTTTTATCTACGTATCTGAAACATCTGGTCCTGATAGGTATCTCCATCTATCTAATCAGGAATCCTAGTGGAGGAAGTCTGAAAGAAAACCCCAAGGGAGTACAACACTGAGATAAGTGACCTTCATAGAGTGTTATCCTGTCAGGCTGCATCTGGCATCCAAAAAGGCCGCCTCTGTTTCCGAGCTCTTTAACATTTGTCTCTTTTTTTCTTCACTGCTGTTATCCAAAACACAAAGTTCTTCTGCAGTTAGCAGCTTTGTGTTAAAACACTTCACCTTTACCTAGCATTAAATGACAGCATGCCCTTAAAGATGAAAAGGAAGGCAAATGGTCTCCAGGTAACTGTATTAAAGCCCTTCTAAGCCAAATAAGTCAGAAGGCAAAAAGAGTCCTAGAAGAACAGCAAAGTGAGGAAGGAGATTTTTCATTTTCGGAAGGCAGATTTTCTAACAGCAAAACATCAACCTGCATCATGGGCACACTGTGAGCACTCAGAGGATCAGCTAGGCTCTGTGGATCTAAGAAACATCAGTTCTTTCAACTTGTGACCGCTCAGCTTAACTGAGCTTCTGTACATTTATTTCATAGGGAGACTGCTCAGAGAAGTGCACTGAAATTGTAGGTCTCTACAAAAGCCCCTTTGCATCAGAGATTTGAGAGAAAGGGATGTGGCAAGTCCGTAAAAACTTGCCTACGGGTTAGAACAGACCACCTGTCTGTCTCCCTCTGCATTAGAACAACTTTAACAGAACTGTGCTGATAGTTGCCAAATCTGGGGGAAGCCTAGAGCATAACAATCTTCCTTTCCTCCAAGAGAGAGCGAAGAACACAGCAGAACTGTACAAACTGCAGTCTAATGAAAAGTATAGGTGTGGCAGAGCCAAAGCTTACTACAGCAGCATTTCTGATTCAGGAGAAGGGTGGATTTGTATCTGAACTGGACAATAGAGTGCTTTGAATGTGCAAATTCAACATATATAGAGAATTTACTAATTAGATACAACAGATAGAAGCATTGTTAGGGGTTTACTTACCTGATCCAGCTGACCATTCTTCAGCATACATAATCCCATTAGTGTTGAAGGTTTGCCTGTGAAGGGACATGAACACTTTGTGGAAACACCTTCACCCTCTGCAACAAGCATAACATAGCAAGAACAGGTATTGCAGTGCAGCAAATATTCTGCCTGGCTAACAATACAGAGCTCTTTAACACGCAAGCAGTTTGAAGAAGACATCTCTTAAGAATTTTCTGTATTATGGCATCTCAGTCTCTGAGCAAGCACCATGCTAATAGAAACAGTAAACATGGAGAGGATTCTGAAGTAATTTAGATTAAAGTCACCTTCAACGTTACGTTTGAGAGGCTCACCCAACACCATTCTCTTGCCCACAATCAGCAGTGGAAATACAGACATTAGACATTATAGATTTAGATATAAATATGGAATGTAGACATTAGCGAGGCAAGAATGCCATACCTGGATTCTGAGATCTGTCACTGGAGTCACATAGGTAACAGTAGATCGTCCTATAGGGGTACATGAACCCCTGACAAAAACAATGCACAAAGCACCTCAGTTTGGTTATGCAATGGTGATTTTGCTTAGAACATTTCCTAGTTGAGGAACACCCGCAGTGAACATAACTTCATCCTATCATATCATCCTGATCATATATCAAAAGGTTTAAATGAACTTTCTGTGAACATTTCCCATTTGTTTGGTTTATGTGTATATATATGTAATTAGGAATATCATTACTTAATTAGCTTGCCAAAAAATAAGTTCTCTATTGAACAGCTATTCTACACCATCTGCATCGAGAAGCTTGTGTTGCTGTGAACTGGCTGAAGAGAGAATGAGGGCTGTGTGTCTGATGGGAGAGACTGCAAAGCATTCCAGGCAGCCAGTCTTTGGTCTGAGCATCTCTTCTATCCTGGTGCTTCTAAGGTACATGGTTTGAGGGAAACGCTTAAAATCTGCCATGGCAGCTCAAGAACTGAAAGGGTAGTTTGGCTTCATTACAAGAGGGCTGGGCAGATTTGTATGCCAGTTGCAATACACGAAATTTTAGAGATAAAATTAAATTTGCTTTCCTCTCATTTACACATTCCTAAAGCTAGTCCAGATGTCTTTTCAAGCTTTTCCAGAGTGAAATAACTAAAGCGTAGTGTGAAGCATAGGCTATTAAAAGGCTTCCAATTACCAGAAAAAAAAAGAAACCAACAAAAAGCAATCAACCTGCAACTAATTATGTGACGAAGGTGTGTAAAAGCATCACTTTTGGGCCAAGATCATCTGTCCCCCTTTGGATGGCTAATATTCCTATCAGGCAGCTTACATGAGAGATATAGTAAAACATTTGATCTAGCATTAATGTGAAACTCTTCAGTGCATGATCGGCGGCTTTGCGACAAGCTCCCCTGAGTAGGGAGTGATTCATCTCTAGGAGGCTAATTTCTTATAGTTGAGTGCAAGATTTTAATAAATAAACCCAAAAGTGAAGTACCCTTTTGAACAGTCCTCGTATCAGCAGGTAATATCAGTAATTTAGGAAACTCAAACCATTCACCGTTCCATCCAATTTATTGTTTTGATCAGTGCTGGATTTAAATACATCATAAGTTATCTCTTTTGTTTTAATTAAGAACATACTACACCCCTGAGTAATTTTAGTCCCAGAATGACAAAAATACATTACTTGAAGGAGAAGCAGTCAAAATACTCAGTAAAAGCATATTTTGATCACTCGCACCGGTGAAAATGAACATTTTCTATGATAAGACTTGCTGCACCATCCTCTCCTGAATGAAGACCCGGGGAAGGGACTTCTGAAGAGGAAAAGTGTCTCCATAAAGATTCCCTTAAAGACATCTTTTCCCTTGCCACATAAAAGCATTCCCTTTTTCCTAACCCTTCCTGTTGAACACTTGAGGCTTCCATAGCCTCAAGAATCGTGGTGTCCCTAATTTTAGTCAGGCTATGACAAGAGACCATATAACAGTCCCACAGTTACTTGGTGTGGGCCAGGAAGTGGCTGAAGGCTCCTCACGGCCCTATGGGTTGCTAAAGATTGAGTCAGGCTGTCCAAATGTGTTGGCCTCTGCTGCCAGCATCACTTCAGCCCAGATAACATGCTCTTATGGCTAAGAACAGGATTTGCTGTCCCAGCAGATAATCCATCTCACCCAATAGCACTTCAGACCCAATTCAAGCGGTCTCCAGTAGAAGAATTTTTTTGTCATTGCCTACTAGGATGCATGGATTTGATTTCCCTTGACTTCAATGGCTACCTGATGCTTGCTTGGGAAGAGGTGGGGATATGTATTGTAGAAAATATGAGGAGAGAAGGAGAAAAAAAAAAGAAATACACTTAACAACTGCCTATGTAGATCTTCTAATGGAACTATGCCTTGTCATGGACAAAACACTTAGAAGTAACAATGAAAAGAATAGGCATTGTTCAAAGCTATTATTTAGAAATCATCTAATTTTTTAAAGGTTAATTAGTGTAATTTACCCATCTTGGTTATTAAAAAGAGTTATACATGAACAATAAAAGAGTTCAATCCATTTTATTTCCACAGTTGATTCATCTGTTTAGTTTTTTATGACCATCTAATTGTTTGGTAGAATTCTGTCCAGGACAGATGGGCTACTGTTCATGACTACTTTTTTACCATTTATATTATGTTGCTCTGATTTTTATTCAAGGCCAAATAGAGGGGAGTATAAGAGTGTGATGTTCACCTAAACATAACAATGACATTAAATTTCTATTTGGCTCTGAGATGAGAATAGATTTGTAGAGACAAACCACTATGAATACAAATAAGTTGTTTATACATAAATATAATAAGAGTTCTTATTTAATTATGACCTCTTTTACCAGTTCTACAATATGCTCTGTTATTATG